CAACATTTGAAACGATCAATTGGTGGTCGTGACGTTACGATATTTACAGTGATTAGTCGATCGTCGTTACCTTATGATATTTTACAGTGATCACTTGGTGGTCGTTACATTACGACATTTGAAGCAATCAGTTGGTGGTCGTTACGTTGCGACATTTGAAGTGATCAGTTGGTGGTCGTTACGTTACGACATTTACTGTGATCAGTCGACCGTTGTTATTTTACGATATTCGCAGTGATCTTGGTGGTCATTACATTACGACATTTGAAGCGATCGGTTGGTGGTCGTTTCATTACACATTTGAAGCGATCAGTCGGTGGTCATTATGTTACGACATTGACTGTGATCAGTCGACCGTCGTTATTTCACGATATTCACAGTGATCATTTGGTGGTCGTTACATTACGACATTTGAAGCGATCAGTTGGTGGTCGTTACGTTACGACATTTGAAGCGATCAGTTGGTGGCCGTTACGTTATGACATTTACAATAATCAGTTTGTGGTCGTTATTTTACGATATTTGCAGTGATCATTTGGTGGTCGTTACATTACGACATTTGGAGCGATCAATTGGTGGTCGCTACGTTGCGACATTTGAAGCGATCAGTTGGTGGTCGTTACATTACGACATTCACTGTGATCAGTCGACCGTCGTTATTTTAGATATTCACAGTGATCATTTGGTGGTCGTTACATTACGACATTTGAAGCGATCAATTGGTGGTCGTTACGTTACGACATTTGAAGTGATCAGTTGGTGGTTGTTACGTTACGACATTTACAATGATCAGTTTGTGGTTGTTATTTTACGATATTTACAGTGATTATTTGGTTGTCGTTACACTGCGACATTTGAAGCTATGAGCTTCTGGTTGTTACGTTACGACATTTGAAGTGATCAGCTTGTGGTGGTTACGTTACGACATAGTGATCAGTTTGTGGTCGTTACGTTACGATATTTGAAGTGATCAGCTTGTGGTGGTTACGTTACGACATAGTGATCAGTTGATGGTTGTTACGTTACGACATTTGAAGTAATCAGTTGGTGGTCGTTACGTTACAACATTTGAAGTGATCAGTTGGTGGTCATTACGTTACAACATTTGAAGTGATCAGCTTATGGTGGTTACGTTACGACATAATGATCAGTTGGTGGTCGTTACGTTACAACATTTATAGTGATCAGTTGGTGGTCGTTGCATTACGACATTGATGTCGAGCTCATGAACGTTAGACACGTATTATAAATTCGTCCACAATGGCCTTTATCACATGCTATATTAGGACACTATTTTAGATGATTTCAAATCAACAATATGGGTTGATAGAAATAATTCCTTGTCTGGTAATGTTATGTGTGTTGTACGACAAAGGACTCTGGTATCGATGTAATTCTAGTCGATACTGATCCAGTCCGATAATTTCCAGAGCTAGAACACCTGTTAGAGCCATGTACTTAACTATCATTAATAGAAACATATTTAATTGACAAAGTCAGTTGAAAAAACAAACACGTTTCATGTTATCCGACTTTTATGTCTTCAATTGTAAACTTGTTCTGCCGAGTTTGTAGCGTTGTATAAATTGTTGTTTTAGTGGTGTTATCGTGTGATTTGCCACATCGTGCCCAGTTATGAAGACACTTTGATATCCCGTCCATAAGTTGTTTTTGTTGTTACCGTCCTATTAGCGAGTTACTATGTATGTTGAATTAAATAATACTTTTCACGAGTATTCATATATGTGATGTATGTGTTGGTTTTGTTTTGTTTTTTAAACATCTAGTACGGGGTTATTGTCCTATAGCCATGCAACGATAAACGTAATGAATGTTTACGCGAAGTAAGAACGTTTTACAATGTTACGTGCTGGTGAATCAAGTATGCAAGTGTCCACATTGTCATGGTGCCAACAGGTTTTATCACTGAAAAATGCCCATACAATATTAGTCATGTTGGTGCTCGGACAGACACAGTCACTGCAGTCGGTGTGTTTCTTTTAATTACTGACTTTTATCAACCAATAATATTTCTCCCAAAGAGAGGCGGTCGTCGCTCAGCGTGTGTTCGAATTTCACGTATAAACAATGTATTTAACATGCGTTGTATGCGTCGCTATGAGTCCCACATTGAGCAGGACGAGGCGTGACACGTGACAATGACACTTACGTCAAGAGCTCATCCAAGGATTTTCTCCTCCACGTATTCATTTTAGTTGTTCAGGGTCAACAAGTAAAAGTATAAAAACAAGGATCATGGGGTTATTTTTACTTAAAATAGCAAACGTGACTGCTTCCTTGGGTCTACTACGAACATGTTATATATACTTGTGATATTGAACTTCTGTACTTGTGGCTGTCAAAGATCCGGGGGGTTGTGAATAAAATTTGGACACATGCTGAAATAAAAAAACGCGTAAAAGGGCTGTTCTTTAGTTATTTGACGCATGTACCGTGTTAGGGTAATAAAGTGTGAAAAGGGCAATCTCGAGAATTCATGTTTCATCAACAGTATGGAAACAGTATGATTTTAGTTTGTACTGTATATAGGGTATCTATTTTAAGTTTATGCACTTAAAAATGGGTATAATTTCACAAAAATAAGTACGTGTTTAGAGGCTTTTTTGAAAAGCTATACTTCAGCATGGGTACTGACTTGGAGTACCCCCCCCCCTCCCGGGTCAAAGATAAGGCCAATATATACTAGAATATATACATGTATATTGAAATGTATGACAACAGAGTATGGTGATCAGATTGCTTACGAAGTCCGTCAGCACGAATCACTTTATCTGAACCGTGTGTAGCACGTACTCAGTCTAGGACAATATATGCCAAAAAGTTGTTATTTGCATGATATAGGGTCCTGTCACACTATTTCTAGGCAGGCATTGACGAAACAACTCCCGCATAAAGAGGCTACGCAGATTGAAAACTAAACACTTGGCATACAATAGGAGTCCTTGCTCTGTACATCGAAGAATACCGCGGCTAGCCGAGTCATGTCTTTGTCTGTTGTGTATTTGCATATTACGGCGAGGTTAAAGGTCAACAGAGTGAAGCGTCCATCGAGACTATTGTATGGACGAATGGACTCACACAAAAGAATGGTTGCCAAAGAGTTTTTAGCTGGTAAGTAATAAACTATGACAAAACTACGTTTAGATTGAACACAGTATAAACCAGTGTTATTCGTTCCAACTGAAATTCCTGGGAAATATCAGGGGTTAAATTCTTTCTACTCTCTGGGTTCTCCACACTTGTCAGGGGGGAAACTCGTCTCGTCTCTCTATCTCGTCCCCTTGAGGTACGGGATCGGGAAAGTCACTTATACTTTACAGTCAAATAAGGCACACACAACGAAATACGTTTCAGCTCTCGTCTTAGTCGGTCAATCGAGCACTCTACCAGACACAGCGCCCTGGGGAAAAAAATCCCCAAAACTCTCACAAGGCTGAACCAAGACTCGCCCAAGACTGGACTGCCTCAAGGCTCGCCCCTGGACTGGACTCTCGACTGCACTCTCTCTACTGCGTCCATCGTGCTGTGTTCGTCAAGACCAACTCAAACTCTCTTTATTCATTTTCAAAACTCTAACCAATTACAAAGCAGTAAAAAGACTCTAGGGCGTAACCTTCAATCATAAAGCCAATCACACTAAGTACTGAATACGTCATATCTTTTGATTAATCGTTCACTACATTAATAACTACGGATGTCAGAATAGCGACGGTATCTTGTAATTAGTTCCAAATCACTGAGCCAAGTTCCGTCCAAAACTTCAAATAGACCTACACGATGACAGACATAACACAGCAATTCAGCTAATAATCAACTAATTAAGTCGACCAACAGATACGCAAAAACAAATTCATGACAGAAATATTAATTATAAGATTGTTAGAAATGTACCATTGTCTTTTGAATAAACTACAACAAATACAGAACGTTACCCAACGACCCAAGAAAACAGTCAACCTTCCGGGATAAAACATAAGTTCGTGTTAATAAGAGAACTGGTTGAGAAATATGACAACCATGAACCGTACTGCCATGATTCGTTATGGTACATCGTATTATTCCACGTGGTTCATAATACGACTATACAAAAAATGGTAAAACACAAACCATCGAATATTGACTATTTTTGATTCTCGGAAACGTTGCATCCAGCCTAATACGTTTAGATGCCACATGTTTACATCACGATGTTCTAACATGTGTTACTTATAACCACACATTTGACCCGGGCTATTAAACACGGAGCAATATTGTAATGATAAACAGACACCTCAACCACAATGCTACATGCCAATTGCGTTATTGTTAACAAATATAAACAACCAACCATCCAACTAATCAACCAACCAACCAACCAACCAACCAACCAACCAACCAACCAACCAACCAACCAGCCAGAATGACTGTTTTCAAGGTTTTTAAACCGTGTTTCTACAATACAGCACATTAATTTCCAGGGATCGGAACTTAAAGGTGAGATATAGGTGACTAAATGAAATTAAAAAAAGTGAGTTGTGCTAATATCACGATATTATGAATATTGACACGTACTTTTATTTTACATGATAATTTCATATAATTGATTATACAGAATGGAAATTAACATCGATGCATGGAAGGTACTAACGTTAGTACCTTCCATGCATCGATCAAACATGTATGAACGAGAACGTTCAATTCTGATATCGCGTCGTTAAAGTTGCCGAATGTGTTACGAACTTATGGTTTTTAAAGAGCTGAAGCTCTGACCACAATTTACAAAATAGTACGGACCATTAATCTAGTTTTCTTGGTGTAGTAGTTGGCGTACAATGTCCGCGTGATTTACAAGAAAAGCGATACAAGATTGTCTGTCATGAGTTATAATGTGAACGTAGCTATAGAGAACTGAAGACGCTAAAATATATGAGCGACACCACAGTTCATATCCATTGCATTGAACCGAACTGTTAACCGCAATCAATGGATTTTCAGTAGCGCGTTCGTGTGTGTTGTCCTTCTTGTTGTGTTGATTCACACGGTAGCTCTGACGTCAAACTCATTGCAAATACGGGAGTGTACAAGTAGTTTGTTATACTGTACTGGTTTTTAAACGAAGTCAGATTTGCATAATTTTGGTATTCATCGGCACGAACGTCGTGACTTTTTATTATCGCTGAAATAGAGGCACAAATTGACTGACGACGTTGTCTGCCACCGTAACTAACAGGACAGAATACTCGGTTGGAGTTAGAGAGGGGCAACGTCGGTGTTAGGGTGGTGAAAACGAGGGCACGACAAGCACTGTAAGACCAAAGGCATTAAGTAGTTCTGTATTGGAGACGATTCCGTACCCTCTTCGACTAATGTAAGTATACGCTAAATCCAATATCCGCTCATTGTACGCATGACTTACAATCACATTTCCCGACAATCGACGTAAGTAAACGCCACTTTAACTTATAACGCGAAGTTTATACAATATTTACCGCTAAATATCATATTGATAAAACGGTACACTGAATAATGTTACCATTGGACGTAATGTAACATATATTAGACCAATTAACTGCTACTAGAACAGAGAGATCAATACTTTATAGCTATGAGGCAAATAAAAATTAAAGACCACACTCATAGCGTGAGCATTCATGACAACGGATCACCCATTCGTGATTGGCAGTTAATTGTCTTTGTCGGCGTTTCAGCTATAAAGGCAATGCCCTCATCGTGTGTTGACGGTGGTCGTAGATTCTGACATGCTAAGACAACACCGTCTAATCTGCATAACACTGAGGGAAGTCTTAGCACTTCGATGACAAGACTTTGAGGTCACTGCTTTCGGTAACTTCAGAATAGCGGAAATGTTTTTGTTTTTAATCCTTTTATTCGTCCACTCAGCCTCGATTAGAAATCTACTCTGCTCTGTACAATGATCCTCTCTTTGAATTTGTCCTCGCCACTTACCCAACCTTGTATCACAATCAGTTTTAAAAGTTGTTGCTAACGGCCGTATTGTTAGCAACAAACGTGCTATAGTGTGAGGGAGACAGTATTTATCCATAATGCACCGCGCTATTGGAATGAGCATTAAACTGTAATGTACAATGTTGGGTCACGCATAGTAAACGTTCACCGGGAATTTCCTCACAGTACCGCAGTGTACACAACAGATTCGACAATAAACCATGGTTGATAGAAATAAAATACAATACATATATAATACTAACAAAAATGTCAGTCATTACAATTTCTGATTTAAAATACATGTATTGTGTACAAACAACTCGCCAATTTTGAGTATTATCATTATTATATATTATATATATCTTCTCTTGAACTCATTATAAATTGGAATATCTGAACATATTTTTTTTCTGGAATATTACTAAAAAAACGTCTATCGGATTGGTACCTAAATATTCCATAAAGAAATGTTCTTCATTTCAATTTTGATCTGTGAACATTGCTCACATATTCTCTATTTCTAATACTAGTACATGACTTGATGTATTCTGAAACGAGTCATGTTGTTTTGAGATTAGCTTAGTCTTCAAACAACCCTGTCCAGTTATAAATATGTTGAGTATTTTCTTTCTAAATTCGTGATATTCTCCCCAAGTTTTCGATGGTTTTCCATCTAAGTAGCCAACTATATCCATTAACTAGCCGACTACAATGGGGTCTTTACCGTAGTGTTGGATGTCATATTTGACAATGGGTACATGAACTTTTTAAGAGGGTTCACATTGATTGAAAATTGAATATCACATCTTGTGTTCCCGGGAAATGTTATAAGAATCAGACTGTGAATTCCACCAGAAACTGTCAAAATTATTGTTTTATCTGTAATGTATTTGTTATTGATACAGTATGTCATCATATATATCCATTTATAGTTACTCAATGATAGCAATTCACTTATTAGCAATCATACTAGTAATATATTAGCAATGACCCCAGGATTGACCCTAGCGATGACCTTAGCAATAACCATAGCGATGACCTTAGCAATAACCATAGCGATGACCTAAGCAATAACCATAGCGATGACCTTAGCAATAACCATAGCTACTTAGAAATGAACTTGGCAATGACCTTAGCAATGCCGCTTCCTATTATGCATACCATCTATATGGTGAGTGGGGTGTTATACGAATTTACAGATCCGTAACTACAAACCTCATCCGGGCAATCATTTCATGAACACGTGATTTTTGATTGCTACATTTATTTTTCTTGGTATTAATAAATAAGGCTTGAATTACAATATTCCAAACCTAGAAACCTTCCAGAAAATTTCTATTTTTGATCATAAATTCTCTTCAACACTGTCAGATTAATTGACAAAGAAAATGTTTCTGTGGTATAAGTTCCTTCGATATTCCATTCTTTACAGCCATCCCTAATCATAATCCATCAGAGAGTTGAACAGGGAAAGCTATTTCCATTAATTGGCAATTTTTCACCCAATTTTACGGTTTTCAACCCACGATAGAAATATATTTATGATATTAAGTTGCGAGAACAAAATTATTATAAAAATATTTTGTTTTTGTCACGCCAGTGACTGAGCTATTAAAACGACGAGACTAAATAATTCAAAGTTTAATTTTAAACCACAATATAAAACCATCATACTATAACAAGAATAGTCCAAAATCTCAAATATTGATATTTGTAAGTCAAGACTATGAGCACGAGAGAATATAATGGCAACAAGCTTATATTTGTGCAGTATTGATTGGGGAGAATAATTGAATCCATACAAAGATTGAACCTTTCAGAAAACGAAAAGGTTAAACAATCAAACTTGAATGTTTTTGTTATATTGGTTACTTTGTCTCCTTATGATTCAATTGTTCTGTCGTTATAAATACTTGTATTACCATAGAAACATGCATAGATTTAGTAGACCATTTTGGTCATAAATTGTAAACTAGAAAATTAATTTTAAAAAATGGTTGAAAAATAAATTGCCGATATTCGCCCACGCTGATAGACGTCTGCGGTAAGTATGGTTTATTATATTGAGTGGTTTGGCTATTATATGAACCGATCGGTTACCTGTAGTAGAATGTACACTTCTAAGGTTTCATTTGTTCGTATGTACAGTAAAAATAATAATAATAATAATTTGTTCTATAATTATATGGTTCTCTACTTATTTCATATTCCATCTAGTTACGGGGAAATATAATACGGTGACACCTTCGAACACAGTAATCTGCGATAAATACGACGACATTCAATTTACCTCATCTAATTTGAATAATGTGTTGCGTAATCGATGGATGATGGAAATAAGGTCGTGATCGTTTCCATAGAAATAAAATCTCTATATTTCATTTCCGTTAAGCACGGTACATGTTTCACAACATATGCGTGAGAAGACTCACAAGTGGAGGTATGAAATAACCACTCGACCACTTTTCAAAATTCGATAATTTTTGGCGAATACACACACAAACAATAAGATTTGGATTGTATCAATATTTCTGTTTGCAAATATTATTAGCATCATTATTGATTGGATCGCGTTATTAAATATTAAAATAGAGATGTATATATGCGTCCCTGGTTACGCATGGCAACACCTTGATATATTCAGCATACTACGTTGCAGTACAGCAGTATTTTGTAAGAATCATAGCATTGTTTTTGAAATCCCTTATCAAACTTTACATGAACAACGTAAAGAGTAATTTAAATGTCTAATGATACCACGATTTTCAGGTTAAATTATCCTTATACTGCCCGGGAATTCACTTTATTGCAAAATGAATAAATTCCGGGTATTATCGCCAAAAATACAAAATTTAGTTATATGTTTCCCGGTGATGAATATCTTACATTGCCGTAGCATTTACATACTATTACGTTACAATTGATGGGTTTTGTGATATATGAGCGTATTCCACCCCTCAATGGATTAACAGATACAACGTTATATTCTTTTCTGTAATATCTCATTATCTAAATGGTATGCAAAGTAGACGTCACACTGTGATAGTGATGGAAAAGACGTGACGACATTTATCGCGCGGGGGTTTAGTTAATACCTTGCGTTTTTATTTTAAAACACGTGAATTCGAAAGTCGATAATTTTTGTTTGGTGGGATATTCATGCATTATTATTTAAAGTAACAGGATTGACTATCGTTGTGTGGACCATCAACGTAATCAAAGCGTGTCTCGAGACTAACGGTAGGAATTTTCACTTTAAAGTTATTCTGTTGTCTGTGTTGTATTAACAGCCTAGACAACAAGTCGAATGTACAAATTATGTGACAGGTGTTATGCCTTGGGATAAATCGAGAATCGTTGGAAAGTCCATTACCTAGTTTATCTTATCACTGAGATATCCCTTCAAATTACTTATATATCTCTCGCGTTACTGATATATCCTTCGTGATATACTCTTCACATCACTGATATACTCTTCACATCACTGATATACTCTTCACATCACTGATATACTCTTCGCATCACTGATATACTCTTCACATCACTGATATACTCTTCACATCACTGATATACTCTTCACATCAATTATATACTAATCACATCAATGATATACTCTTCACATCAATGATATACTCTTCACATCAATGATATACTCCTCACATCACTGATATACTCTTCACATCAATGATATACTCTTCACATCAATGATATACTCTTCACATCAATGATATACTCTTCACATCACTGATATACTCTTCACATAACTGATATAATATATCACATCACTGATATATTCTTCACATAACTGATATAATATATCACATCACTGATAAATTCTTCACATCGCTGATATACTCTTCACATCACTGATATACTTTTCACATCACTGATATACTCTTCACATCAATGATATACTCTTCACATCACTGATATACTTTTCACATCACTGATATACTCTTCACATCAATGATATA